ACAGACTCATACGTAGCTGTCTGCTTTCCCTTTGGGATGTCCACTAACATGCTGCTCCCCAAGTCTCTCCAGTAGAACTTGTACCCCACCTCTCTTCCTGACATTCAGGCCCAAACCCCAGGATCCATTCCTGTTTCTTCTCTTTATCTTACCTGCCCCACACCCTGCTCCAGAACACCCAACCCTAACTCATCAGTGTGTGCCAATTACCCCTTATTCACACCCACCTTGAAGCCAGCCGCCTTCCTCCTCGGCATCTCTCACCAGGCCCCTTAGAAGTCACTTCCGAACTTTAGCCCTTTGCTCTCACGCCTACCAGCTATTCTCTGCCCAAGAACAGGAAGGATCATTTAACATTGTAAATGAGAAACATTCTGCTCAAAACACTTTAATGGCTTGCTGATATACTTATTAAATTCCTTAATCTTTACAAAAAATCTTAAATGCCTTACAAGACTTAGTCCCCATATGTGGGGTGCCTTCTACCAGTCTTTTTTTTTTTTTTTTTTTTTTTTTTTTTTTTTTTGAGATGGGATTTCACTGTGTTGCCCAGACTTGGCTTGGACTTCTTACTATCCTTCTGCCTCAGCCTTTCAAGCAGCTGGGATTACAAACATGCATCACTGAGCCTGGCTTTACCATCCTGTTTTAAAACTGCCATTGATTCCCCTCAGTCTCTAGTGGCCCTCTTGGTGATCCTTAACAAATCACCCTCATCGCAGTCCCAGATGCCACCTCATTACGATTCTCTCTGGAGTCTTGGATGTTCAAATCTTTTCAAAGCTTGTGTTCTTGTTTTATTCAGGTCTCTGCCTCATTCCTCTAGGGTCCTGCCCCACCTCATGCGTCTCCGTCTCCGTTAGTTCTCATCCTCTGACTTCACTTTACTGTACATTTGGCTGCTACTATGTTTACTCCCTGCCCTCTTTGCTGAAATGTGAACTCCTTAAGGATAGGAGCTTCTGTACTGCTTCTTGCTGTACCTTCAGAACCTGCCACACTGTGGACCCACATCAAATATTTAATGGGCAAGAGACCAACCCCCACAATCTCTGAAAATCCACTCTCTGCTTTCCAAAATAGTTCCCATGCTGCACTGCTGGAGGAGCCACCCTTCAGTTCCATTCTTTCCCTTTGGGCTGTGATCTGCACAGGGTAATTACCACATTTGCCCTGGATACTTCCCTTCCTTTCAAGAAGCCACTACTACAACGGTTACTTTCCTTGCACCTGCATTTTCTGTCCTTTCTGTTGGCTTACCTGACTCTTACATGCCTGATGTGTTTCTTTCCTCTTTGAAATCCTCATGGTTCACCCATTATTTGTCTCTCTAAAGGTTGATTTGTGCTTTCTTTATATTTTAGATCTCTCATTTCAAATTAATCATCCTCATTAAACAGGGTTTCCTGGGGCAGGGTCTTGACTTACTATGTATATTAAATTTTGTTAAAATACATATAATATAAAATTTACCACCTTACCAGTCTTAAGTGAACAGTCATTAGAGTTCAGTACTTTCACAGTCTCCAGAGTTCTTTTCTCCTTTCAGACCTGAAACTCTGCATCTATTAAACAAGTCCCCCTTGTCCTCTGGCCAAGCTGTTGAAAACCCTCTGCTCTATGAATCTCATTACTCTAGACTTCCCATAGAGGGGGAATCATGTAAGAGTTTTCCTTCAGGGACAGGCTTTTTTCATCAGTACAGTGTCTTCAGGGCTCATTCATGTTGCAGTGTGTCAGAGTTTCCTTTCGTTTTAAGGCCGAATGATGTCACATTGTATGAATAGACCCCATTGTGTTCCTTGATTTTTCTCTTAATAGACACGGGTTGTTTTCATCATTTGTTTATTGGGAATAATGCTGCTCTGCAAATGGATGCACAGATAACTCTTGGAGATCCTATTTTGAGTTTGGGATCCTATTACCACCCAGAAGTGGAACTGCTGGGTCACATGGTAATTCCAGTTAGAATTTTTTAAGGAAGTACCATATCATCTTCTATAGTGGTTACATCATTATATGTTCTCAGTAGTGTATACAGGCTCGAATTTCTCTGCATTCCTGTCAGTACTTTTTATTTTCTGGTTTTGTTATACTAGCCTTCCTAATAGATGTAAGGTATTATTTTGTTGTGATTTGGGTTTGAATTTTCCTAATGTAGTGATGTTGAGCACTTTTTCACGTGCCTGTTGGCCTTTTGGTTGTCTTTTTCTGGAGGAATATCTACTCAAGTCTTTTGACTTAAATATTAGATTGTTTGATTTTATTACTGTTGGTTCTGCTCATCTTTGAATCTCACATACCATGCACGCCATTGAAATTCTCCACTTAGCGAGACTGAGGTTTACTCAGCTGGGGACCTCTCAGGGTCTAACACAGAGGCACCAGACATCGTAAGCATATAGTTTGAGGTCTTGCTTGGGTTTTAAGTATATTGGAGACCCAAACTAACCCTCCAGATAGCAATTTTAGAAAGATTTCACAAGGGTGACATCTGAAGAAGACGAGTTCAGTACTCATTTGTTTTATGTAAGGTTTTAGAGCCTCATCCCAAAAGCCACATGAGATGGCTTTGTAGAAGAAAATACATTTTTGTCCTGAAATCAGAGTGTCTGGGGAATTTGGAAAAATCTATTTCAGCTTTGCAGTGTGGACATCACCCCAAAACTCAGGGGAACAAACCAGTAATGTGTGTGTGGATCACTTTTTTATTCAGTAAACACCTATCTTATGCCTATGAGCCAGGCAGTTGGTCAGGGAGGCAGGAGTAGAACAGCAACTCTGGCAAAGTTAAATCAATTCAGTTTGTCCCTGGCAAATTCCTGGGCAAGAAGTATTAAGACACTAGATGCAGAAATGGGAAAATATTAGCCATTAATCTGTGCCTCCTGCTCTTGTCTTTTCAATAGTAGAATTTTTGCTTTGATTCCCTTCGGTGGCAATTTAGGCAAAAATTATAAAGGCTAATTAAACTATGTTGTGTGGGAAATGGTGAGAGAAATTAAAAAGTAATTTTCCTTTATTACTTAAAATATCTGTGATTAAATCAATTGTTGCTTCTCCTCACCTGTGGCACACAAAGTGCCCATGGAGCTAAAAAAGAGTTTGTCGTTCAAATGATTGTCTCAGGGGCCTGACCATAACTGGATTATAAGACGACTAAAAGAAATAACATTCAAAATCCTCTAGCAAATTCAGAGTAGTTCTCCTGTTTTTCCTTTCCTTTTGTCTTCTCTCCCTCCCTTTTGGGGTCTGCTCACAAAAAAGAGATTACTAAGCAAACTAATAAGTAAGCAGGCAAACAAGTAAAGCACTGTTTTATTTAATAGCGAACGCATTTAGCAGCGGGACTCTATTCACACAATGACTTCGTAATTATAAATGAGTCTCATGCAGTATTTAAAGCATTTATAAGACTCTTAGCAACCTTAGAGTTCCTTCCTTCTTCCACTTGTAGCAACGTGACTGCAGCCTTCAGAGGGAAAGAGCAACATTGCTTTAAAATGTCCTATTAGTCAAAGTAATCTGCACAAACACACTACAGCTGTCATAGACAAGGAAGCGCTGGAGACCATGGCAGACAGGGCCTTTTAAGGTCTGTGACTCTGCCCTGCACAGTGCGATATAGCCCCGGCAGACTCCTTGTCGTCCCCCCAACTGTGCCCCAGGCCATGAGCTGGCCTTCCTGCATTTTCATTTGATGAGTTTCTGATTATCTTTTGTAATGCAAACCTCATTGCCTTCTCTGAGCCACCTTTTCCAGCACCTGAAAGTATTTTTCTCTCCCACAATCGCTACTGAATTCCCACAGCATTCTCTCAAAAACATTAAAAGTTTGATCACATGAAATGACAATGACGCATTCACAAGGCTCTCCCAGACACAACGGTGAATTCCTAGAAGACCGGCGCAGAAACTGACTTATCTTTTAACCTTTCTACTTACCCTAAGTCCCAGGCATAGTTCTGCATCCAGTAGACATTTTATGAATATTGAACCAAAGCTATGGTTAGGATTAGGAAGGCTAAATGACGGTGAGGTCTAATGGACAAAGTATGAAAATGACGGAAACTAAAATGAAGACAAAAAGAGAGAGATTAGGAGAAAGTGGTGGCAAGAGAAAGTGAGAATAGAGAAACCTAGGGAGGAACTGTGGGAACAAAGAAGTAAAGCTTAGATGCTGGGAGCATTGAAAAGGGAACATAGGGTATCTGAAATTAGAGTATTACACAGGCCCCTGTGTGCCTGTTTTCCACAGAAGCCACAGAAGGACAGAGGGGAGAAAGGGCCAGAGGAAAGACTGAGGCAGTGGCCAGTGTGTAGTCTGAGCTACGCCATTGCCTTTGGCTGGAGTCTGCCCTGTGGCCTTACTACTCTGATTCAGGCCTAAGTGTTGTCTCTTCGTATCTCTTTTCCACGAATACATGAGTGTGTCAGTGTAGGAACACAGGAGCACTTGTGCGTGTTTGCTTCCTCACACAGGTTTTAAATATTTTACTTTGAGAAAAAAGCCCAAAGGACAATGCAAATCTCTAGCTCGCTCTGCCTTTGCTGTGTCAGAGGGTGGCATTTCCATTACTCTATGGGGAGGTGGTGGCTTCTTCCTGCAGCCTGGCAGGGTGGGAAACCATGGTGTACCCCAAGCTTGCTGAACACATCTACACTGCACCAAGGGTGGGGTGGGTTTGTCGTGGTGTGTGTCAACATACCGCAGCATTTATTGTACCTTTATGACAAAGTGACTTTCGGACTCACCCAGCTGGCTTCTTCACAGGATGGGTGCCACTTGATGGTCGCAGCCTTTTGGAGTTATTTCTTAGTTAACCAAAAAGGGTCTCTAGCCACCTAGTTAGTAAGCCAGAATGACTCCAGTTTCCTATTTTTCAAATTCATCCTTAGTTATCCCTAGACACAAACCTGCCCACCTAGGTGCTCTGTGTAATGAATTAATTGGTTTTTTGTTTTGTTCTCCCTTCATTCCCTCTTTTCCTGGCCTCTAGAAGAAAATGCCAGCAGCTCCAGCTAAGAAAGCGAGCACCACCTTCAACATCGTGGGGACCACCTACCCCATCAACCTGGCCAAGGAAACCGAGTTCTCCACCATCTCCAAGGGCGCTACTGCCAGTGCTTCCTCGACTCCGACCATCATCGCCTCGCCCAAGGTCACCGTCGTGCAGGACAGCCCAACCGAGACCAAGACCTACAACAGTGTCAGCAAGGTTGACAAAATCTCTCGCATCATCTTTCCCGTGCTCTTTGCCATATTCAATCTGGTCTACTGGGCCACCTATGTGAACCGGGAGTCGGCTATCAAGGACATGATCCGCAAACAGTAGGTAGTGGAGGTGGCACAGCAACCAGAGCACCGTATACCCCACAAAGCATCTGGGCACCCAGCCCCAGGGCGCCCCTTAATATGTTTCAGGATTCTTCTTTGTAAACCTCTCCCAAGCTGTGACTCTCAATCCAATTCACATTTATGAATATCCTTGAAAAATAGCAACAGAGAAAGGCTGTATCCCTCTGACACTTCGTAGCACACTCCCATTAGGGTCCAGCACTGCCGTTTGTCTAGTTGCATATCTCAGCCTGCCATGCTCTCGCAGCTGAGGGCACTGCATGCATTTTGTTACACTCTGCCCACTGCAGGATGAACAGGAGACTCCACTCCCTGTCCTGGGAGCCTGGGCTATTTGAGAAGCCCAGACTGAGGCGAATTGTTCAATCATCCAGGTCAGATGGTTCAGACTTCCCAGGGAGCCAGGCTGGGCTATGCTGTATGGTCTTGTACACCACCCCTCCTGCCTACAGCAGCACACTCTACCAGGCATGAGAACAGGGAGCAAAGGCTGACATGAGAATTTTTCAAAGCTGGGAGAGATGAGCAGGTCACTTCCCTGCCAAGGCAACCGGTCATATAATGGATGGGATAGGAAGGGTGGGTAGTTGAGGATTGGAGTCTGGCTCAAAACAAAGGTTCACTGGCAGGTGAATAGTCAAACTCACTCTTCCATATCCCCTCCACTCCACACCCTTGTCCAGGCCCAGGCACTTTGCTGCCACAACATCAGGGACTTCTGGTCCTGTGTCGTTGATGATGACGCTTAAGAGGAGTGACTTGGAGATTCATACACATATCTCTAGTCAATTTTTGAGTCAACTACATCATTGGATTTATTGCCAATTTTGTACCATATTATGTACAGGCCATTTGATTTCACTTGTTCTTAATGTGAGTAAAAGGGAGAGGTGTAAATACAAAAATGTTATAAGGTAAATAAACTGAGTCACAGAAGTTAGAATAATTTGCCTAGGCCCCTTACAAGTGTCTTCAGTGAACAACAGCCATGCACCCCTTTCCCATGGCCAAAATGAAGAAAGAACTGAGAGCCAGATCCATTTGGACCTCAGAATCAGCCCCATCTCAGGGGGCCTTCTGGGCCATGGGGCACTTCTAACAGTCACAGCTGAAGGGAATGAGAGCCCCAGCCATTCTGGATCTGAATCCGTGCACCAGTCCAGAGGACCCTAGAGGTCCGAAGCAGAGCCACAGGTGGCACCGCAAGCAGATTCTTCCTGGCCATCTGCTGAGACAAACCTGCCCAGGGGTGTATCATTAGCTGCTGGTTGCCTTTTCATCCTTCCTTCTCCGATCCCCTGCTTCTTTGCCATTGCTAGGATAATGCATGCCAGTCCCATTTTTCCTAAGATTGTGTCTGTAGGTAAATTCTTGAGTAGAAGAGTGTAGTCTTGTGGATACGTGGGGAGGGGGGTGGGGGTGGGGCTGTAAATGATTGTCTCAATGAATTTAGAGTGGACGCCTGATCTTTACCTCTCTGTACTAATTGTGTTTCCAAGTGCTTTGGTGTGATGTTTAGCGGCTGTTTATTAAACCCTTTCTGAATTGTATAAGGGGGGTGTGTGGGGCTGTAAATGATTGTCTCAATGAATTTAGAGTGGACGCCTGATCTTTACCTCTCTGTACTAATTGTGTTTCCAAGTGCTTTGGTGTGATGTTTAGCGGCTGTTTATTAAACCCTTTCTGAATTGTATTTGGACTGGAGAACTTTTAATTGGTCATTCTGCCTAACAGGGGCTGTACTCGGTTCTTGACTTTCACGCCCACTCTGGGGCCACGCTCACTTTCCACTTCACACTGCTCTGTATGCTGGAAGACAGGTATCTCCAGAGCAGGGGGTTTGTTGCAACCATTCAAAACAGAACCCTATGAAAAGAGCTCCGAGTGACTCAAGGGTCTCATCCCTGAGCACGCAGGAGAAGCAACAGCTGTACTTCCTCTGCTAAATTCACCAACTCCTAGGAAACAGAGAAAGGTGTTTACACTGCAGTTCTAAGGGTTTTCTCTTGGCCAATGCTGTTTCCCTTAGGCGATAGCTATCAGGAAGAATGAGGGTGCTGTCTGCTTGATTGAACCGTGTGTCAGTAAGTAGATGATAACCTCCTTTTCTTACAAAGGCAGGAGAAATCTGGGAAATAATCTCATGGGATTTGCCTGAGAAAATTACCTGGCTCCTATGGGATGGGAAAATCTCCTTGGGAGAACATTTCAAAAGATTTGCTTGTCCAGAATAAAAGAAAGGACTCAGACAATCTGACCCCCAAGATTCACATTCTGCCCTGTGATCATCTGATGAACCCTACAACTGCAGTAATCAATCCCACAGGTCCTGGCCAGCTTAGCCACAGCCCCAGAACAACCAGCAAGGGGCACCACGGCAGGAGGCAGCTGTCTTTCTCAAACTGCCTGACAGCAATATGTAAGTGTTGTCCTTTCCCTGAGACCTTTCTGAAATGAGTTTGCATCTGAAACTATTCCTTTAGTCTAAGAGGAAAGCTCAAGCTGTTGTTCTGCTGCTGAGCTTCTCTACTGTGTGAGGCCCTGGCCCAGGCTGGGTCCAGTACCTGAGGGCTTCAATATATTATCGGGGGGAGAAAGGGAGGCGGGGGAGAGATCCCCAGCAGATCATTAGGGTACCCTTCTGGAGATTGCTAGAAGACTCTAGCTCATAGTAGGCACTTAACAAATATTTACTGAATAACCAAATGCTAATTTAGATCATGGCTACATAGGGGAGTTTCCTTCAGGGCGGTACTGGAGAGTAGTCAAACTATGATCAATGGGAACACTTGCAGAAACAAGCAGATACAATGTGCGGCCTTCTAAAGTAGCTCTGAGAGCATTCCAGTACTAACAAATGTACTGTTTTCAGCCACTTTGAAGAGCTTTGCTTAATTAAACAATTGTTTGTTCCTATGGGTTTTTAAATCTGGGTATTTGTGAAAGATCAATTAGTTTCTCTTGCTGGAATACTGGGGGCAGGAGAGAGAGGCATGAGTGAGCACCAGACCCCTCTGAAAGCCTCAGCAGCACCCAGTGCCCATCCAGGTACATCTGCCGTGTGAGACCTGTTGGAAGGGTCCCCAGGGTGGGGTTGGGAAGAGGCTCCCTGAACCTCTGAATCCTCACAAGTGATCTGCGTGACACGGAAGGAACAGGAAGGGGTTGGGGGAGCAAGGACACAAGTGGGGGAAATTCTGTCAAAGGGCCCCAAGAATTGGAGGCAGCAGTCGCACCTCTTCAGCTTCAGCAGCTCCTGGTTACACCTGCTCGCTTTGTCCCCAGAGGTAAATCCCTCACAGGTCCGGCTTCTGGAGTGAGGCTAATGGTGCCTCTGCTTGATGGGAAACCTGCCTTCTGGGGGCCTCCTACCTCTTCTCTCCCCTTTCCCCCTTAAATTGTTCACATTAAGGTGTATAATATGATGTTTTGATAAACATAGGCAGTGAAATAATTACTAAAGTCACATCTGTGTATTTGAGTTTTGGAAGTTTGTTCATTTGTTTGGGCTTAGTGTTTTGCTTTTGATTTTAGATTCTGCATACGAGTGAGGTCATGCAGTGCTTGGCTTTCTGTGCCTGGCTTACTTAGCACGATGTCCCCCAGGTCCATCCATGTTGCTGCAAAGGTTAGGGGAGACCTAGACCTGTTCTGTCCGCTCACATCTCAGTCTCCATAATTTGATAGCATGGGAAAAGCACTGAGAAGAACGGGCACCTGGGTTTCTGCCAGGGCTCTAGCCCAGTTGTGTCCTATTGGGCAAGTCCCACTGAGCTGAGACTTAGTTCCCCAGTTCTCGAGATCAGAGTATGATTAAAGCCAAGAGCAGAGCGTCCTTTGCAGCAGTGTCCCAAGTGTCAGCACTTCCTGGCCCCCATCCTGATCTTGTCCTCACACAATCCCCCTCCTCTGGTTCCCTATGGCATGATTCACATGGGTGGACAGCTTCACACACTTTTGATTCAACACCGTCATGACAGCTAGGAGGAAGCTAAACATAGGTATACGAGGGTCTCCTCGCAGATCTAGCAATGATCTCCCCTCCAGCTCCTCTGCCACACCTTCACCCTCATGTCCTTACCGAGCTCCACGTGGCAGTATCTCCAAAGCGTGATGCAATGGGGAACTATTTGTGTCCTAGCAGTAGAACAAGCATGGGAACGGCTGATTGTTAAATTCAAAAAATTAAGGGGGTGCTGATGCCAGACAAGGGTCCCCAGGAGAGCTGAAGTACAGTGGACACAGAACAAAACACGCCTCTCCTTTTATTTTTCCCTTCAGAGTTGCAGCTGGGGGCGGGGTGATTCTTGGTAGGGAATGCCCTGGACACCTTGGGACAAGATGTACACATGGCTTGGGGTCTGCACTTGCTGTTTCTTCCGACTCCTGTGATGCAGGGTAAAAGCAACCTCCCTTCCTTCAGCCTAAAGCCAGCTCCTCCTTTTTTCCTCCTCTGTGCTCCTCCCTCCTCCAAGGATTTTAATGCTGTTGTCTGCTCTCAGGTGAAGCTGCTCTTGCTGAGTCACCACTGCCCTTGTTACTAAAACCTAAAGGCATTTTTCAGTTATCTTACTTGGACTGTCAGGAGCATCTGACACTGTTGACAAGCACTTTATCCCTGAAACTGAGTCTTTGGTTTCCATGACACCTCAGTCTCCTGGCACCCACACCTGCTTTTTGTCCTCTGTCAGATTTCTGTTTTTCTTCCCCCCGCAATTCAACTTCTCCTCTTCCCTCCTCTTAAAGACTGGGGCTTCCTGCAGTGTCTTCCACATTTTCATTTCCCTCTCCACACGTTCCTTCAGTGATCTCAAAGGCCTCGGTTTCCACATATTCCAGTGATCATTCACCGTGTTAACAAATTTCCCAAAGCCAAATGATCCCTTTTTACATTGCCTCACAGGGCAAACAGGTGTACAGGGCACAGCAGGGAGAACTTATCTCTGCTCCATGGTGCTGGCCACTACAGATCAGATGGCTCAAACAAGTGGAGTGTGATTTCACGGAACGCAGCAGCTAAGGGAGGCCCCTCCACTTCCTGCTCCATAAGGCAGGGGATTCTCTAGCAGGATGCAGGTGTATTCTCTGCCTGGCTCCAGTCCTGATTGTAAGGGCAAAAGTTGTGTCTCAAACTCAGAAAATGAAGACAGTTCTAGGTGCCTGAGTAGGAGGAGGTGGGGGCCTTCCCTCCCAGGTCTGGCAGATGGGTTGTGAGGGCTGAAGGCCAAGTGCATGGGGGCCGTTGACTTGAGCATCTAGACATGGCCTTCCCTTGAGGCTCCTCACAACATGGTATCTGGGTTCTGAAAGGGAATTCTCAGCGAAGGGACCCTCTGGAGAACAGGTCTCCCAAGAGAAACAGGCGGAAGGAGCATGGCTCTTAGTATCTTCACCTGGGAAGTCATACAGCATATCTAAGGTCAGTGCAGCGTCCTGAAGACATTGCAGGTGCATAGGAAACCCACCATGCCTCCTTCATGCTCTTGACTGCCAAATTATCATCTTTAGCCTAGTTCTTTCTAAGCAATTGTTTCAACAGGTTCAAGGCAAACCTCTTGATTCCTCAACTCCTAAAAATCTTCCCTTGATTACTCCCTTATCAGTCATCCCTCACCCAGATGCTTGGGCCAAAAATCTAGGAGATATTGTGAACGCCCTTCTCTCACCTCAGCAATGAGTACATCTTGTAAACTCAGCCTCCCACTTAGAAGCTATAGTTTACTCACTCCTTCCCATTTCCACGACCGACATCCCAACCCAGTCTTCCAGCATCACTACAGACCCATTGTTTTACTTTATAAACCAAATCGTGTTGTGAGCCCATTTCATATCTTTTAATGGCATCCTGCTGCCCAGGGACTAAAATCCAAAATGTAATCCTGGCCTTAAGAGTCCTGTGTAATATGCTCTTGCTTCCTGCTTGGCCCCCCGTTGCCACAATGGCTGTTTCTGTCACACAGTGTTTTTGCCACATCAAGTGTCACATACACTTCAGGCAGGATGTGTCCTT